GTCTTGGCCCCAGAACACAGCCTAGCCTTTTTCTAAACCCAACTCCAAGTTCACATTGTGGTTTAAGCTCTGATCTCTTTTGAGGTGGCTCCATTCTCTCAAGTCATGCTCAGTTCAAAAACTGAGAGGTGAGGAAGCATAATAAACTGGAAACATTCCCTTCTAGCAAGGTGGTGATCTTCAGGATGACCTAGGAGACCTGGTGTCAACTCATCACAAGTCTGATCGGAGCTTAAGCAGCCCAGACACTCCTGAAAATCCCTGCCACCCTGCACACCAGCTCTTTCTTTAATAGCAGGGTCCAGCATTAGGCAGCAGACTGCAGCCCATGCAAAGTTCCCCTTCATTTTCCAAACCTCCCAAGATACAAAGGCTCATATCCCTAGTGTACATTCTCCATGTTATTAGGATAACTGCTAGTCAAGTTCAAAAGGCAGTTGGTTTCCAAGTCACCAAGCCAGAAAGAGCTATAATTTCTCTCACTGTAATTTCTCTCTATGATTATAACAGTGGTTGACTGAGTCAACACAGGCAATGTCAGCAAACGATTTCACTCAAGGAGAGCAGATACCCAGGAAGCAGCAGAGTCTTTGGGGAGGGGGGGCTGAAATGTGTGTGGGAGCTGGTCTGGATAGATGTAGCTCTCATTAGGACATTAAACAGGCTAGAGGATCAGAGAGCCAGTAAATACACACAGCTTAGCTTCATCCTTTCTGAAGGGTTAGGAGCAGAGAAAGGAGTCCTGCTTCTACTGAAATCAGGGGGAGTTTTTGATTTTTATGGGGATTTCACCCATCACAGTTAATAAGCAACCAAACCATCACAAGTCTTGGAGAGGCCACCCTGTTCTTAGCAGCGATAGATTTCTTCTCTAGTAGCTCCAGGGACAGTTTTTCCTGGGGCATCAGCCTATCTCAATTTGGAACAACAGAGGCTCAAAAAAATGCCACCTTTAGCTCAACAAAACTGTGGCTCCATAGGCTCCATGGATGAGAAAGAGCTTCTTGGGCAACTTCAGATGGAGTTCATTTCCAAAACCCCAGAAGGATGGTTCTCTTTCTGTAGAATACAGGAGAGCTTAGGTAAGCTACCCATAATGAGCTGGAGTCTAACACTCCTCTCTTCTCCAAACTCTTCAGCAGATCATCCTGGAATCCTCCCTTCAACTTAATGCCTCAACACTGCATTATGACATTTTAAAAGGGCGATAATTCAAGTTTTTTCCAGAGTAATTGTTATCCTAAAACATAGGCTGTGCTGTTCACCCTCAGCTGCCATACCCACACCAATATTGTTTTAAGGTAGGGACAGAGCAAGGATCATGCAAGTTGCCATTTCAGAAAAAAACAATCATATCACGATACGTCATTTCACCTCTCAGCAGCTCTGCACAACAAAACCAACTACATTTTTTCATATGTGAGCAAAGTCAGCTGGAGTCTTGCCTTTGGCACTGAAGAGGGTAGAGACAGAAGGATCATAGCTGGAATTCCTGTTCAGATGGCTCCCATGGAATGAGTAGCTAGAAAAAGAAAACAGCCCTAACTCCCGAGTGAAGCATCCTAGAGGAGGGCTACGGAAAGCAAAGACTGGAGAGTCCTGGGGGACCACGTAGAGCAGAAAAGGGCTAATTCAGATCATCAGCACCAGCCACTCTCCCTCATTCCAGCTGACCAGGGGATGAGCTGGGAAGCACTGGATTGGAGCCAGATCTGCTTCCTGCCAGGAGAAATCTCCACTGGTCCCACACAGAAAATGGGGCTGTTCCACTTGATACCAGCTGAGAGTGGGATTCTTCTACCTCTGATGCTGTAGTAATTAATTTACTTTAAAGGGGAAAAGAAGTAAATGAGAACAGGGCTTGGAAACAATAGGTTACATTCTTGAACTCCTGTGTGCTTCCCTTGGATGTGTTTGCCATGAGAATTAAAGGAACAACATTGAATTTGATCTGAGCTGAAAATGAAGTTCACTGAAAGCAAACCAGGCATACAGGGTGAATTCCTGGCACTGATGAGGTCAGTGATAAAACTCACCATTACCTCACCGAAGCCAGGATTTCACCCACAGTTTTTGTTAAATCAACAATCAATAGAAACCTATTCCAAGATTCTTGTTTTAATTTCACCAAAAAATGTACATAAAACAAATATTTCCCTGCAATGATTATAAAGTAAACAGCTTTAAAGTGCCCTCCTGCGTGAAAATGTGAAACAAATTGAAGCATGAAGACAACTAACTTGTTGTCTTGCCTAAAATGAGGGATATGTGTAACAGAGAAAAACATATGGAGTAAAGGTATTTGTAAATAAATAATAGAAAATTTGCTTAAAGCACAAATAAAGAAACATGGGTGTTTTTTTCCACAAAGCTCACATCCATGAGGCTTAGCTTTTCCAAAAAAGCTCAAAGAACAGAGGCACACAGCTAGATATATTTCCATGAGAGGAGCATATTCTCTTTTGAGAAGTCCCAGGCACCGTATTTAAAATATACAATGACATAAACGCTAGCGTGTCATTTTCAGTCTGCAATTTGTTTGTGTCATTATGAATCTAGTTCACTAAACTGTTGTCTTATTTATCATAAAAGAAAAAAATGCTGCAATCAACCAGGACTCCCACCTGCTTTGGGAAAAACCAAAGGCCACCCACCAAGAGCATGTTCACCAGGGCAGTTCTGCATGTTTCCCTGTAGAAAAACATTTTTGTAAATGGTCTAATTTTGCTAAGAAGAGAACAGCTGAGCTGACACAGAGCAGACTCTCCAAAGCTTTGAAGTCCAGTTGGATTATTTATCCTGCTTTCCACTGTTCAGCTCCAGTTGCTGATACCCGCCCATCAGAAACGTCTCTCCATCATCCTAAGCAATCCAATTCCTGTCCTGGCTGCTACACATTAGGAAGATATTTTTTTGTTCAGAGATGATTGTGTATTTTGCTATCCTAATCCAAGATGATCAGGAAGGCAGAAAGGCCAAGTTTAGCCACCAGCCTCCTCTACATGGTTTGTTCACGGTCACATTGTGCTCATTTTTCACAGCTGTAAAAGGAGAAGTTATAAAATGGAGGAGTCTTCTCCAATCTTCCATCCTCAGAGATGTGTTATGAACACCATTAGTGAGCTATTCAGACACCAGAGTCATAAAGACAACACACATCAACACATATACAGAAAGGTCCAACTATTTCCACAGTATGAGGCTCTGCACAGGTAAAACTGAGTAACCAAAGTAAAAGGAGACTTTAGAAAACTTTGCTTAAGCAATTTCTGCTTAAAATATTTTTAAAAGTGCCACTGGGGGAAATAATGCCAATAAAAGCTCAGATGCAGGTAACAGAGAATGTTATTTTGCTCTAAATCAGCTTAATGAGGAAGAAAGAAATGATAATTCAAGTGTGAAGCAGGTATACTAATAACAAAGGAACAATCAATGAAACAAAGTCAAAGAACTGAAGCTGAAAAGAAAATAACATTTCCGTGGTAATTTAAATTGACAGCAAAGATTTGAAGAAAAACTTGATACTAATCTGGACGAGATCATCCACAGCTACACTCACATACTACCTTCTCTGTACGTGTGAGGTTATCTTCATTCACAAGCTTCATACTCTAAAGTGGTAACGTGATGAAAAATTATTTCCCAGGTTATTTTAAGGTTATTTATTTGAAGCATTAGACCAGGTCCATAGGCCAGACACAACCTCTTTGCAAGGTCCAGACCCAGAAGAAGATTTGTTTCTGAAACACAGACAATCTAATTGTGTTTGGACCACTGGCTCCTTCTCCCAACCTCCATGTCAAACAGTCCCAGTGCTCCCACCAGGCCAGGGATCAAAGATCACTCATGACCATCCTCTAAGATATGAGGATGTTCTAGTCCATACGGAGCTAGGTTAGAACTGAGGAGGGTCAGGCTGACTCCTGGCTGTGCCTAAGATCTCTTTATATCCATGGATCAGACAATAGGCACTAGTACCTGTTCTGAACCACACTCTTTTATTTCTCTGTACCTTAACTCCCCTCCTGTGAAATGGCAGCACCTCACAGTATATGAAAGAACACAAGATGCTCAGACATTGTGTCACTTTACACCTTTATCCTTAATTCCCGTATACAGCAACAGAGTCCAGGACACCATGTTACAGTTTGCACGTGATCTGCTGCACTGCAACAAGAGAGGTTTATTTTTTTCTCTAGCTCCAACAAGGTTAACAACAATGACTCACTTATGGAGTTTTAAAATCCTGTCTCTGACAAGCCAAGCATCTGTAGCCAACGCAAGCAGGGACAGATAGCCTGGAAGTCATTCATGAGCCATTTTAGAGCCAGAGGGGAACACTCTGAGTGTCTAATCCTGATGTCTGCAGAACAGTCAGTCTGTCTGTCTTTTTATTTTGAGATATTTTCATTTCCTGATTTCTCTCTTCCTCTAAAGGAGGGTATGAGCACAAAAGGAACAATGCTAACAAAAAATCCTGGTGCTGAAACTGTGTACGTAAGTGGGCACGTGCAAATCCTTCAATAAGTGGCCCAATTTTCAAAGACACATAGTATGCTGGCATCAAGCTTCTGGGTGTGAACCATATGATGGACATCTATCCATAGACATCATGGAGAAAGGAACTGAGGCACAGGAATGTGGAGAATCTGCTACTCATACTGGAGCCAGAGGTCAAAGTGACGCTGGATTCAGTAGGAGCAGACCCAAGAATCTGGCAAAGTCACACAAGTAGCGAGGTAAACCCTGCCCACAGGGCAGACCAGAGTGAAGTGACTGACAACTGCAAGATGTGGAAATCCTGGGGTCTTGTTTCTCTGCCCCTTTTCCTGCCCCTAACACAAGCTTTTCTCAGCAATCTGGACAGACATCAGACAGGTCCCCCAACTGCTGTTACCTGGTCCAAAATATCACAAGACTTACAGAGCCCACAGTTTCTGTATTTATCCGAGAAAGAGAAAAGTGAAGCTTTCCTGGAAGAGAAAAAAAAGCCAGCTTACTGATCATGGTGGTGCCCCCAGCTAGTGCTGCCTTGGTCCCTTGGAAGAAGTCATCAGCAGATGTCATCCCTTGTTCTGGCATCTGGAAGCGGGTATGAACGTCCATCCCTCCAGGAATCACCATCCTGCCATGGGCTTCAATAGTTTTCACTCCCCCTGGCACGATCAGATTCTCTCCTATTTGCCTGGGTAAACAGGTTTCAAACAGCAAGTCAGACCCAGACAAGGCAAGCTGCCTGTAAACATACACCCTTGTGCTACTTAACCTGGCTAGTGTTTTCTTTTTCCATATAAAGCAGCATACAGGATCAGCATACATAGCTGATAATATTTTATTCTTCCCCTCGAAGCAGTTGCATAATTGAGAACAAAGCATGCAATTACTTCAGGACCTCAGGGCAATATTAGACTTAAGAGGAAGGAAAAGAAGGAGCCACAGTGGCAGGCAGCTGGAGAAGGCACCACGCAGATCATCAGATGATGGCTGCATCAAACACAGCAAGAGCCCCGGGAGCAGCTTTACTGGGACTGGACTGGGGTTGCCAAGTGGCAGTTCAACACTTGATTCCAGCTAGCTAACAGCCATTTAGGTGTTAGAATTGTTTTGGGAGCACTGGAAGAATTTTTGCCTCTCTATTTTCTACTTTCCTTTCATGCATAAATATTACATAGTCCCTGCACAAATATTATGTAGTCCCTGCACAAATATAAATCCATGCAGATACGGGTTACCAAATTCCTGATGAGACCCTCAAAGGTCTCTCCAGTCTAGCTCTTCACAGACTTATTTTTAAAAGTGAAGTAGTAGATGACACATTGCAACTAATTAGCTGTCTTTGGCTGGCTCCTTTAACTTTTAACCTTGATTAACAAAGCACATGTGCTGATCGTGTAGCCAGAAAAGGAAAAATCTTTGTTTGTAACCTCTGGCTTGTCCATTTTTTCCCAAGAGTAATTTTCCTAAAAAATCTGTAATATATTTAACGTGCCAGAAATGGATGTTTCAGGCCTGAAAACCCAGAAGTGTGCTGTAAAGAGGTCTGAACCTCAATCCTTAAACTACAGGATCATTCTTAACTTTAAGGAGGTTTGGATTGATCCTTGTATCACAGAACCATAGCAGACAGCACTGCAAGAGACCTCAAGAGGTCACCTAAGTCCAGCCTCTTACTCTAAAACAGAATTAACTGTATTAGGATGCTGAACTCTGGATTTAAAATATCTGAAGTCATAACTCAGTAAAATGTTACAAGCCAGCTAACTTCAAACATATGTGTCATCTCAGCATGGGGCTATTCACGTGGCTAAAATTAAGCACGTGTAAGTTTGTCCTTTGACCCACATTTTAATAACAACAGGGGTTTGGCCCATTTGTTTATTTAATTTAACACCTTGTTTTTAAAGTTCCTCCAAACAACACCAGGATATAAGTGAAATATTAATTTTTTCATCGCAATTTAATACAGCTCACTGAGGCCAAGTTATTCCTTGCTAATCCACAGTGTATTCCTGTACATTTCCAATCGTGAGATATCAGGCTTCACTTACTTTATCAACCCATCTTCCATGTAGATGTCTGCATAGAAAGACTGGTCATCGTTAACTATTTTACCACCTTTGATCAAAAGACGATCGCTCTGCAATGAAGAAGCACAGAACAATATGTAAGTATTTCTGTGAAAAAGCTGACAGTCTGCAGTGTCACTTCAGAGATCAAAGAGCAGAGATGGGAACAACCTCTGCATTATTCAAAAGCACACGTCAAAACGCGAGTCACTCGCCGCACTTTCAACTGGAAAGATAAAATATTTTAGTTCATCTGCAAGTCCTTTCATCACACTAATGATCCAAAAAAAACAATAATAATAAAAAAATAAAAAATCAGAATGGAAAAGGAGTTTGGTTCCAGTAGGCTTGTCTACTTGGCAGCTTCACTCATACCTGCAGCCTGCCACCATCACCTACAGCAAAAGCATTAAATAATAATTGGAGAGATGTGTAATAGCCACAGCTCTATTTTTTCTGCCTCGGTCGTATGCAGAATTTCCTATATGCACCCACTCACTGGAGTCACTCCTCGGCTAAGTGTGAGTCAACTGCTGTCAGGGACATGGACCAAAAAGCTGTTGCCACAGGTTACACAACACAAACAAACTCGTTTTGTCCAACTTCGTGATGTTTCGATGCAGTAGATACTTTTTTACTGCCTTTCCAGAGCACTACTGCATAATCAGATGGAAATAAGCACATATTAGCAAATTAAATTTAAGAGAAGGATTTTAAAAAGGGTTATTAAAATTCCCTCCAATCAGAAGAGAGTTTGGCAGGAACAGAAAGGTAATTAGAACAAGGCAGCTATCAAGCGATGTGCTTTTATCGCAGCCCAGGTTCCATCTCGCTTTTGCCAGATTTTAGGTCAAAAACAAATTTATCTTTTTTTTTTTTTTTTTGCAGTAGTCAGAAGCAAGAATGAAACAGAGTCTGCAGAGCTTGGGGTGGGGAGGAAAGTTAAAAGTGATTGCTATCTTCCTCTGGTTCCTTCAATCCCTACATCACAGATGCAGATATTTAAAGCAAAGCCCAAACACTTTATGTAGCTTTTGGTTTAAACTACACCTTGGCCCTTATATCTGCATTGATATTTATTCTGATTCTCTTTCCCCCTCTCAAAAACACCTTTGTAAGAGAACAAAGCCAAAGACTGGTGAAACCAAAAGCTGACTTTCAGAAGGGGTAGAAAGCAGGACTTTAACTTATAGAAAATACATATAAGACATTGACAATGGGGTTCAGAGCCCTTATTTTGAGCTGGAACTCCATCAGTCCACTAGAAGAAAAGAATCAGGCAATTTCCCAAAGAGCTTGTAATAAAACCGAACAGTTGGAGCACCAGATTCTCAACTGACACAAGCTGACATGGCTCTTTTAACACCAAAAGGGCCACATGAATTGCATCAGCTACTGATTTAGATCATTATATCCATCTTTTATATAACTGCTAAACATCTATGAGATGCTGTCTCTCCTTCCCCCTCCTTTTATTCCCTTCTCCTTCCTCCTACTGCTGCAATGGAGTTTCCCTGAATAACGCCACCAATTAAAAAACAAAACAAAGAAAGAAAACCCCAAGATTTAAAATTAGGATGTGCTGTGAATGCCGATAATCCTGAATGAATTAACTTGGGGCGTGAAAAACCCACTTGTCTTTCAATGCCAGCTTCTACAGCAAACTGTCCTACATGTTTACCTTTTCCAGAAACACTGCAGGATTTATGCCCACCTCTCGTGCAGGCTCCTTGTGCTATTAAAAAGGTCGGCTACTAGTGAAATCAGCCTAGTTTGGCCAATGATGTCACTGACAACCCAAGTCCTCATGTACTGGGCATCAATGAGGAAAGAAGGATAAAATAAATATAGATAGTGACCAAGAAAAATGCAGCCTGGCCCGTTTTAACGATGCTCTGACTGCTTCTCCGAGTCAAGCAGGTCTCCTGCTGCGGCTGAACGCTGGGCTCTGAAATCAGTGCGAATCCTTCTGCTCGTTTCAACCACCTTGGAGACAAAAGCGCAGGCAGTTTGCAGCCGTGGGAGGGCCTGCCACTAAATCGGGATGTATTTACCCTACTGATGCTGTCAAAACAGGACAGCTAGACATTGATTACGCTTCTTCTTCAAGCATTAGCCTCCATAAATCAATTCCAGGTTTATATAACAGCAATTAAGACCAGAATCTTGATTTATTTATTTTTTTTCCCCCCCATCCCTTATCTTCACAAGGGAATTGCACGGGGTGCACGCAACATAAATCAGAGCACTCAGTCATAAGAAAAATGCGTCATACTACTTTTGGCCCGTGACAGCGATCCAGCAGTCACCTTCATCGTTATTTAAACACCAGAATCTTTTAAAACTCTCTACCATTTGAGTCTTGGAGGGAAATTATTCCCCCTTCCCCCCCCAAAAAGGATGCTCCATTTGTCATGTAACAATTCTGTGCATCCCCTGCATTTCCTAAGCATCATTTAAAAGGTAACTGTACAGCCGAGCGGCTCTGCAGAAATGTCACACTTCAAAGCTCCATTTCAGAGCTCACTTTTCTGCCTCGGAGGCTGCGGAAGGAGGATGAGGATGGGTGTGTCCGTGGGGTTGGGAGAAGGAGCTGCTGCCAGTAATGAAAAAAAAAAACTGTGTCAAAAAAAATTAATAATAAATAAATGGCTGTAACAGTCCGTTAGATGGAAACATCTCGCCTTACGTAATGAAAAGTTAGTACCCTGAGGTCTGCAGTACCTGCCCTAAATCGGCTCCCGCAATAGGGAAATCAAGGGAGGGGTTTCCATAACGGCTCCTTCCCTTTTCCCCCAGGATTGCACCGAGGAGGGGACTGAAACGTGCGCTTTGCCAGAAGCTTCTTGGGGAAAAAATAAGGGAAATCCAGCTCCATCCTCAGCGCCGGGGCAGGGGGCTCCGGCCAACCCCCCCCTCCCCTTCGCCGGGCTGGAGCAGGAGGGTGA